ATTTTATTACTTCCATTCTTATATGATACGTGAAAGAAATATTTCTCTAATTTATAATCAAAAAAAGTTTATTTTAATTGAGATATTAGATTATATAGATTATAAGAAAAGGTTCAAAGATATTCTTAATTAAAAAGCGCCAATAGCCCAATGGTTTGGGATACGGATTACTCATCTTGGTGAAGGGTTCTAATCCCATCATTCGACTATTGTCGTGAACCATATGCCAGTACAAGTCTAGAGCTTAGTTGGAGTGGTTAAAGGATTATAAGAAAACTAGCTTTCGCTCGCAACTCCGTCCGCGCGGAATTAAAAAAAAACAAATGCAAGTAACCTGTGTTCCAGACTATCCTCTACATCGTTATCCGTTCAGCCGTTTAGGCTACAAACGCTTGCAAATATCCATCCATCCATTTTCATATATAATATTTGAAAATCACTGATATTAAAAAAGTAAAGAAAAGAAAAAAATCGAGTATAGCATTGTTGCTTGTTTAAGAATGATTCTTTAAAATACATAAATATACAAAATACATAATTAAGAAAGATTTCAATATGAACGAATACAAAATTTACATCATTTTGATCGATGCAAAGTGAGAGTTAAACCCACGCTAATGACAACAATCAGCTTCCTAACAGTTATCATATAAAGCACCTGTTTACTTAATAATATATTTTACGACGAAAACTCTTGTAGTAATCCAAATTGATGTTTACTTAAAATGAGATAGCATTAGTAGACAATAATCTACAAATTATTTTAAACATACATGGTCTTACTATACAAACTTTATTTGAATACATTTTACTTTAAACCTTATATGAATAGCACCAACTTGGATTTTTGACATATGCAAAAATTTACTATACGCCCTCTGCCCCACCTTGGGGACGTAGGAATAGAAGAGATATCGAAAGCAGTGTGTAATATATGTTTAAACATATAGGTGTAGATGTAGTTAATATCATCACCAGCAGTCAAATGTTTACACGCTTGTAAACAATGTATATTTAAAATAGTCTTGTTGCACAAATCCATAAAACTTTATTCACTCCTAAATTGAACTTTCTAATTTAAAGGACGTTACTTTATAGAATAAACAAGTATCTATTTGAAGACCATCAATCATGACTTATTTACATTCAGTTCACAACTGGCTCTTAGAAACGCTTACAAACATCGCACTACGCCTTGTAATTCTTGTTCTTTACATTGAAAACGCACGAAGAGAGCACAATCAGGTATTATTCATAGCTAATTGTCTCAGTAAAATGTGCTTTTAATTCCTTATTTTCATGTTATAAAACAAACGTGATAACATACGTGAAGTTACGAATAAAATAAAATAAAACAAAAACCGAAACAAGCAACTTTAAGGAAATTAAATAAATGTTGCCGCTTTACAGTTTTTAATGGTTCAAAAATATGCATTTCATGGTTTGATTCAGTTTAAGCTAGAGGTCTCAATTAGTTAGTTAAATATCACATTTGATGTCATTACATCTTACTTAATTTTATCTTACTAATGTTATAAATGAAAAAGTTAAGATGGATGGATGTTTGTTAGGCTACTCACTTTTGTTTTTTAATTCCACGCGGACGCGCGGGCGAAAGCTAGTATGTAATAAAGGTCTATGTAACCTTACTCTTTTATATTTACAAAAGATTTAACGGAAAATGGGCAATCTGAAATTGTATGCCGGTTATTCGTCCGTACCACGTTTCAGAGCGGCCGCAGCAATCAAAGTTGTAATTAGCAGCTAGTGAAACAGCAAATTAAACGTCCTTTCATGTGACAAATTTACGTTAGAGCCCGCACTGTGTGGCAACGCCCGTACCCGTCCTGTGCCCGGGAATCGCACGTCAATGAGGCGTGCACAACGAATTTCTAATTAAGTCGCCGATTATTTTGTGCCAGTGTGATTACGTAACAAAATTGCTAGTCCATTGGTAAAAATATATAAAACATTTTTAGGAGTTAGATAATTGAAATTACCAATGATTGAAGTAAATATGAGCTCTTCTGTGAGTATGAAATACAACAATTTTTACCTCTTTGCATAATTTATTCAATTTTAATTAATGAAAGCGTCGGTGGCTCAGTGGTTTAAGCACTTGACTTGTAATCTACAGTTCTTAGGTTCGAATCACGCCATGTACCAATGTGATTTTCGATTTTTGCGAATTTTCATATGTACATAATTTACCCGTCGTTCTTACGGTGAAGGAAAACATCGTGATGCAATCTGCACATATCGGCGAAGAAATTCAAAGATATGTGTGAAGTCAACCAACCCGCATTGGGCCAGCGTGGTTGACTATGGCCTAGTCACCCTTACTTTAGGGTGGGCTCCGAGCCCCTCGGTGGGGACGTATAGTGAGCTGGTGATGATGAATTAAACAAAATTAATATTTTTATACTTACAAACAATAACAAAATCTTTGTAACGATAAGAACCTTTAAATAGATCTCTTCACGATTGCCTTAATAGGATAGTGGGTGGTTATCAGTCACGAAATGAACCTACAAACATAATAAGCTACTCTTGGAAATTAAAAATCTTTTATGTAGTTTTCGTGACAAAGTTTATAGCATATTTCATTAGCTCGTTTAAAAGCTAATTAATTCCGAGACCTTTACAGTTTTTTTGTATTATTTGGTTCATATAAAGACCGTTGAAAGCTCTTCTTTTAACAATTTTACTAACGGTATTAAATTCTACGTTCTATTTAAATTAATGATCGGACATAGATTATTTGTGTATGACGGACGCGAGATCAAATCAACGCACTATCGTTAAAATTTAAGGCGTTAAATTATTCCAATTCTATTTTAAACGAATGAATAAATTATGTTAAGATCGCTTGCACAATTACCGAGAAACAGTTAGACCTAGTTAATTATATAAATTATTTTGTCTATTTCAAAACATTGTGGATACTTAACCACAAACTGTAGAATTGCGCTCGTAAATTCTAAAAAAATTCTCACAAAATACTTTTTTATAAAACTGTGTTTCTTTTGTACCCTTATTTTAAGATAAAACTCATTTTGTTTTATATTTTTTTCAAAGTAACTGAAAAATTCTATTCTTACAATACTCGTAAATGTTACCTAATTTCTAGATTAGATCGAAAAGGTGTACAGTTGTTCGATCCGGTTACAGTTACAGCAGCAATTTCAAATTTAGAATTAAAGAACGAATTCCGAAATTAAATTTCCATTTCTCCGTTCCGGTGTTTATGTCGCATAATTACGTGTTTTGCGGGTGTAAATTAGGCGGGTAATTAAACAGTCAATTTGGAATCGGTAAATGATAATTACTACCAATATTTATGATTAATTTCATAGTAGTAGTGATAATAATCTGATGTATGTGGTATCAACGTTATGAAATTAGTTTATCACAAATACCACAAAGAATAAATTCACCTAGAAACGTATTATATTATATTATATTATATATATATATATTAAGTAGTGTTCTAAAACAAAATAAGGTCTCAGGTATGTTTTTTTTATCTCAGATTCATATAAATTCTAGTACTAAGAAAAACTATAAAGGTATTTAATTCTATTCAGGACACTAATATTTATTTCATTTCATAGCAACAGTCTTGATAAAAAGGTCAATACACTCGGGCGTATTATTTTCGTAATGCATCAAGATACTATTGTGGAGCAATTATAAATCAAACAGGAAACAACAAACAGCTGAGAAATGGCCTTGGAAGATATCCTTAAACTGTATTTATTTCGTTATCAAATTAAAACTTTAAGAAAGGTGTAATTTTGAACGTTAAATTCAGTTCTTTCGGAAATAACAATGGGATAATCGATGTCTCAATTTCAGTTTCACTTTTACATGGTTATTATTTAACATAATAAGGATGCACGATGACGAAATTGTAAGTAATTATTTTACTTTTACCATGGTATGAATCACAAACACTGATAGAAAGGCGTATAATAACTCTTGACCTTACATTCAAAATGTACTCGTAACACAATCAACGACCAAATTAACATCTTACGTATCATCGGTGACCCCTAGAGCACTGGCTTACTGACCCTCGGGTCACTTTCCGCTTGTATAATTCTGCATTACGTCTAAGACTAGTTGCATTAAAAACTTTGCCCTTAAATTACTGGACCTATTTAACGCTCCTTCCCGAATAATACCGAACAAAAAGTTCTAAGTTTGCTTGTGTTCTCGTTATACTGCCTAGTCCGTTTTCATATTGTCAAAGATTAGATACATTCCGATTCAAGTCATTCTATACAATAGAAGTTTCCAATGAGGCCGGATTATACGAAGCGAGTTTCAAATAATCCTTCGAAGACAAAAAGAAGCTGTCGTTACGCCCGATGAAACTTTTTCAATAACCCGATAACAATGGCCCTTTGGCTTTTTTCTTTTTAAGTCATGCTACGCATTGAAATTCTTATAAGATAACGTTGAATCTAGATAAATCTCTGTTGGTTCATCTTTTATTACGGAACATCGTAGATTACATCACCGATCGTAATTTCTTACGCGTTTAACCAGAGCATAAGATTAAACGAAAGATATTTTGCAACTGCGAAAATTTTCCTCCTATTTTGAAGTTTCAAGATCAAACTTAGTTATTTTTTAAGATTTACGAAGTTCATATTATATTATCTAATTATATTGTACAGTAAAATTATTTTTATAAAAAGCTTCTGAAGCTTATGAAAGGTAACTGAAATGTTATGCGGTTATGAAACAAAAATAGACATATTTTAGTAACTCCAGGGCTAGCGATAATATAAACAAAGACTATAACTATCACCAGGGCGCACTTTTCTTTTCAATTTAAACACGCACACTCCTTACGCACACCGAACTAAACGACAGTACGAAAATAATCCGTGTATTTCGTGCCATATTCCGGCTCATCCCGTTTGCTCTCTCGGCGAGTACCGAACGAAACGCTATCCTCCATTGTCGGGAGAAAGTCGCTTTTCGCAGTGCATTTGCGTCGCTTTGGAAGGGCGGTCGCGTAAGCTACGGGCCACGTGCAACTCGACAACTTGCGCTTAGTTCTTCACGAACTGTGTGGGAGGCTAGTACGCTACATGAATTATACGCTCGAATGTCATGCGCTTTAGAGAGCGCACTGCGAAAAAGCGTTTTTCGCCCGCGTCCGAATCATGCGTGTGTGAGTGTTGAGGCCACGTGATTTTGACAGTAGCAACCTTTTTAATGCCGGTTATTTGTGTATTAACAACGGAGCTATGTATAGCACATAATAGGCGACAGTGAAAGTGTTTTATTTTGCTGATAACGAACGAATACGATATTCTGAAGCAATGACCGTTTGAATTAGAAGATATCGCGATCTGGGTGACTGAATTTTTTCGGCGCAATCAAAAACGATGGAGTTTCTACGGTAAGTAAACAGTTATTCTAATGGAATAAATAATTGTATCGATACAATAGTATGTTAAAACAACTATAATATATCATGTATTTTTATAGACGTGTATAGTTTTGTATTCAGTTGATTTATGAGAAAATGCCGGCTTACACATTTTTATTATTGAATTTTTAAATACTATAAAGGAAGTAGTTAATTTTTATTGTTAAATTTTACATGTTTAGTAAACATTTCAACAATATAGTGATTGATGTTTTTATAAATTTTGATATAAATTCAGTAATTTGTTCTTTGTACATACCGTTCGATATAAATTATGAATAGAATCTATCAGGCCGGTACAATTTCTGTTCTCATTGTTTATAGATAGAGTATCCAGTGCGCATGTCCGTTACTATGTCAACAGAAATAACACACAAACCGATCTCCTTTATCTATACTTATATATTAAAAAACAAAATCAGTCATAGATTTAATAATTAATCGGATATTAATTACATTTTATATAGAACATGTGTTAATAATAATAAAATTGTGCATATATTTATTTTATTATTTGAATAAGTATTGTATAATATTTTGAATAATGCATTATTTTTATTGTTTTAGCTTCTTATTTGTTATGGTTTTTTTTAATTTCATTTGATTTTCTATAGTAGTTTTGTATGTTATTATACTACGTTTGACATTATACGATATTATGTTCGCATGGATTTCGATAATGTCACATCATTTGATTATAAACAGACGCTATTATCTTTGCATGATATATGGCTGGCGACCGCACTCACTAGTTCCCACCGCTCCTTGCTCAATAGTTCCAATAATCGATACCATCGGTTGTTGACTCGCTCGATTTAAACAAACATACTCAAATTAACAATCGAAATCTTGATTTGAATATTATCTAAACAAAATTTCTTTCATATTTACTATCGCAATATCATCTCAATTAAAAGTATTAACACCGTTCGAAATTTGAATTCAATTTTGTTCTTTTTTTAAATTGTTAAATAACCAGTATTCTTTACAGGATTAATAATATGGCCTGTCTAATAGCACTTTTTTAATCTATGATTTTGAAACAGAGAGTTTGTATCTAGTTTTTATATTGCTATAGTTTTTTATAGGCGCCCTTAAGACAATATTTCATACGTAAGAATTGTTGATGGTTATTCTATATTTACTAACATTATGGAGAAAAGATTTTCCTTTTTGCAAGTATTGAAATAACTCAAAAACTACCAGGCCGATTTTAAAAATTCTGTCACCTTTAGAGAGGTAATTTATCTGTGGATAATATAGGCTATTTATTTTCACGTGGACGAAGTTGCGAAGAAAAGTTAGTGTATATTCTAAGTAGATTAGTAGACTCGGTAGCTCATTATTCATTTAAAGCGTATACAAAACTGATCCGAACCACGTCACTTGAGGATCAAGAGAGATGATGTCAGGGTATTTTTGCATAAGTCTATTATTAAACGCGCCATAACGGTTGGCTGCGAATAATTGCGTGCGCCGGTTCATTTGATATCGCTGTCAAATGTCGTACCGTACAAGTATTTGGAGTGCGTAAGGACGAGAATTAACACGTTTATTGCTACTAAAATTTATACGTAGGTATAAATTGTAGGGAGAGTCGGTACCAATAGTATTTATTTAAATAAATAGATGGCTAGTAAATCATCTATACAGATGATAATATAATGATAATATGATATGATATATAACAATAAAGGGGAAAGATTTTTATTTTTGTATGTATTGAAATAAACCTAAAACTACTGGAGCGATTTAAAAAATGGTTGCATCATTAAAAAGTCACGTTATCACTCAATAACATAAGCTATACTTTTATTATTTAACGTCACGGGGACGAAGTCGCAAGCAACAGCTAGTATGAATAAAATAATTATGCAAGTGACAAACATTAAATTTTAACATAATTCAAATAGGAAATTACAATAAACATTTTGCGGGTTTTCTTATGCATTTCTGATTTTTGAATGTATTGAAATAACTAAAATACTACTGGGGCGATTTAAAAAATTGTTGCACCATTAATAAGCTACATGGTCACTCAATAACATAGGCTATTTTTTATTATATTTAATATATTTTTAATAAAATGCGGGCGAAGTCACGAGCAACAGTCAGTACAAGATTGTAAGTATGATCGTGCCCTTATAATGGGCATGTCTGCGAAGCATCAAACACTCAAAACACTCATACTAATAGCATGGCTTTATAAAGCAGTGTAAGGGTTGAGGGTTACCTTACTCAAGAGTACCAAACATGACCGAAATACGGCTTTTACTGTATGAACATGCTTTATATTATGTTATGGTTATTTGTGTTTTGGATATGTCATGTTTTAATAGCGTATTTGTTTAATCATTCACTACCTTTCGCCCGCGATTTCGTCCGCCTGGAATTGAAAAAACTAGCAAATGTCTTCTTTCAGATTAGGTTCTATAACTTTGCCAAATTTCATCGGGATTCATTCAACAGTTGGTACAAACTGTACCATCCATCCATCCATCTAAACTTTCGCATTTCTAATTCATGTCAAGAGTAACTGTTTTATGACGTTTTTCTAATTTTAAAAAGATACAGTTGCAAGCTATAGTTATTGTAATAGGCGTTAGTTGAATCACTAACGGCCGAATAGTAAAACGACATTGAAAATCAACGACTTGAATGATAAGGCTTGGTTTAAACTGTAAATTCCCAAAAAAAGTCGACGACACGAAGCGTGGAGTATAAGATTCGTTTCAGAATTAAGCTGCTAAGGTAATATTTATGTCATTTAATTTATCATTCTATTACAACGTTAAATATTTTGATAACGTATAGTAATAAACATTACCCGAAGTTAAATAAATCAATATTAATAAACGAAAACAGTCTATAACTTACGGTAATAAAATGAAACAAAACAAACATAGTTGTAGCGAGCGAACATTCCGGGATCATAATGATTCATTCAATATGACAAGGGATTTAAATACAAGTTACAAGAAACAAGGATAAAGCGTGAATATACGTATTCTTGGGTGGTCCCTATAACGAAAGACCCTAATCCTGATTGACACAAACTCTGACTGATAGCGTTGAAAAACTACGATTTGATATATCAAATATTTGCTAAAAAATCACAATAAAACAAATTAGAAATCAATTCTTATGTCAAAGACTTGGGACTGATATAAAACCATGAAAAGTTTTTTTTTCTGTATAAAATTGGCAATTAGAACGAAAACTGAAAGTAACAGATGCGTCACATTCTTCGATATAACAGAGACAAAAATTATATTTCAAATAAGAGAGAAAGAGACAAAATATGCAATAAATAAAGATTTATTTTAGTAACACATATGATATCACTCCAAGGGCACATTATTAATGTGTAAACAAACAAATCGTTTTGGTGTTTTTTTCCTTATTTTGAACTTCTGTAATTACTGGCCAGTGATTAAAAAAAACTACAGTAATTTTGTACGACAAATTGAAACCTACGATATGCATACTTTTTTATAAACTATAGAGGCACAAATGACGAGAACGCCGATCGAAGACTCAACATACTTACACGAACTTGTTATCTCATCATCGCTTTGAAATCTCTTTTATCTATTACTCAAACCTGTTCTGGTATACAAAGAAACTTCTATTAAGTATCAAATTGATTTTATAAAATTGAAATGATTGTTTCATCAAATAATTACACTTATAATTAATAAAAGATACAATTTAATTACTAATTATTGACTAAAAAAAGGTCGACCGAAACGGAAAAATATAAAACGTCACCATCAGTGCATATTAAAGTTATTGAAAAATATTAGTTATAACTAACGAAAAAAAACTCACAAGTTGGAGCATTCGCTGAGCATCAAACGTTGGACCTACTAGTAGTAAAGTAAGCCACTAAGCCTCTCGTACAAGACACGCAAGCTCAATAAAGCAACGTTATTACCATAATCACCATTGTGCACTCCACAAGGCCGCTCCCTCAGTCATTATAAGAAAGAATGCAAGCCACTCTCACTGCGAGCTTGCAAGATAGCATAGACTTTTTTAATGAAAATTAAAATTATACGAACCTATTTAAATCGGTTAAAAATAATAAACGACAATTTGCAAACCCATTACGTATGAATCGATAAATAAAATTTAAGAATTCACCCGTATCTGATAATTGCAATATTACTTTTTAAATTATTTTTATACATTCGACCTATTGTGCAATGTTTTTTTTTTATATTCCATATCCTTTGGAAAATGCTTGTTTAAAAACTCTTGATGTAGTTGCCAATGTTTTGTCTCAGAGTCCTAAAGATGTTCTAATTTAAAGGAATTTGGGAGTTTAGCTTATTATCCAGGGAACGATCTATTCACTTGGTGGAAATAAAACTTTTACTATAGTTCCCTAAGTCTGTAAAATTTGTTAAGCAATTTTATTGTCGTAATAAAATGTGAAACGTCCATTACATATAAATTAGTTTTTTTTCCTTTCTTTCATTGTGTAACTTTCTCTTCTGAATCAGACCCTCGTTACAAGATTAATTAGGGACGTCTCTTTAAATTTAGATTTTATTATTTTGGATTACATTTTAAAACAATAAACAATCAGTTAAAGACTAATTTAAATAACGTAAAGTAATAATAAAATAGAAAAAAACTATTGCACAATCTTAAGTTCTACGGAATAGTCTAGAAAAAATTTCGGCAAAAGTAAATAAACTTATCACAAATCATTAAAAATATATCTATACTATTATAATAAAGCGTAAACACACACTTCTTTGTTGCCTAAGATAGCAGCAATTACAGCATATTTTTGAATAATACTTTTTTTTAATAAAAAGCCCTACACTTACGTCACGCTTTAGGCTATGTATTTTCACGCCATTAAACTTAGTTGGTAAAACATTTTGAGTAAAAACCCTTATGTGGGAAAGAGACCATAAGTTGCTGCCAACATCAAGGAAGTAAGATTGCCAAGGTTT